GATAGACTTATAGATAATCTATTATATTCTTATTGGCCTACAATCTTCATGATACGAAATATCTAAAATAGAATAAATATCTATTTTTAGTCTTTATATTCATAAAATATCTTTAATCTTTAATTATTGTACCTTATTAGTTATTAGTATTAGTGGTAGCTCGTAATGTTAAAAATAGATAGTCCACAAAATAATAATTAACAAACATTGACTATGATGTAACATGTTTTTACTGTTTTGAATGAATATATCTTAATATTATGTAAATCATTTAAAATAACTTAATTATAATTTAAATTAAAATGTTTAGTTAATTAGTTTTGTATGTAAAGTCGAGTCCTAATCATACATATTTTATATAGGTGTGTTGTCACAGTATTGTGCACTGATTGGTGTGTGCATATTATATAACTCTTTTTAATTTAGGGGCAATAATTATTATGTTTACGACATAATAATAGGTAGTTCTAAAATATTTTTGAATAATTTTTTTTTTTAATAATAACGCCCAATATTCATAATAAAAAATTTGTAACGATTAGATAATAGATTTTAAAAACAATAAAAAATATTATTCTGATAAAATGACATGTGGTGCGCTTGTACCTGCGCATCATTGCAATAACGCACGAGTCGCCACAGATTAGTACTTACTCTATTGACAAAAATATTTTGCTATGTTGATACCTATAGGTAGTAATGGTAGTATAGATACACTATTTATATGTATGCAATAAAGAAAACTTTAATAACACTTATCTACTTAACACTATCCCATATTGATATTAATGACATTAATTTATCATATAACTAGGTACCTATTTTTTAAATAAATATTAGTAAATATAATACTGTAATAATTATTTTTTATTATACTCATAATAAAAAAGTAGTTTTATAGCAAACAGAAATTATCAATATTATGTGTACACATTTACCTAGAGTCAGAATATTCTTAAAACAAATCTAGGAGTCTTCGGTGGTTTCACTTCTTAAAACATTTCTATGTTACTCGTATATAGGTAAGATTGGTACGAATAAATAATAAATATACGACCCGATTTAATATACCTACTAATTTTAAATCCTAGATAATGAATCTTATTGAGTAGATGCACGTGGAAATTCCGTGTAAAACAATAATAAATAAATAATACTTTAAGTTTTAAACGTTGTTCATAATATGGATATATATTAAATAATAAGATTAATGAGAAGTAAGTATTATTATGTTTTCGTTAAACTATTTATTTTTTTTTTAGTACCTTCCTACCAATTTATCAATATCATCTTAAAAAGTCACAAGTGTTTTTTGATTAATATTTCGGTCTGTAAAGAAATACTAAACACCTGATTTGAAACATTCATTTGTTTTAATTATCCTGTGTATATTAAATTATACTAAGACACTGCATAATAATTATAAAAAACATACAATTATGTAAATTATAACTTAATATGAATGCCGGTACGGTGGCACTGCATACTAATGGTGAGTGAGCCTACTACTTCTGGGGTTTTGTACTTTTACGATTAAAGTTTCCATTTATTTGATTCGTATTAATAGCACTTTTAACTTTTCGTTTGAAATCTCAACTTTAAAGGGAAGAGACAACTGCTACATCTCAAATCAAATACCTACTTGGAAATTAGACAAACGATTTACTTGAATCCTTGCCTTAAATTAAAACCTAAAATACTCAATAATCACAATCAACTGTGGTGTTCTATATTTAGATCTAAACTATCAATCACACGAAATTTACACAATACAAATCTTTACTGAGACCCATTTAGCTTTACAGTATGCAAATCTAAGGATATGCTAAATTAGTTAAACTCACATAATTCAAGTTTTCCAGCCCATCTCGTATTTCCTTTAATCATAACCTCAACTCCCCAGTCCCGATAACAATGACTTATTTACATAAAGATTTAAATATGTATACTGTAATATTATTCATCAGCTATTTTTTTTTTATTCATAGCCGATATCTACTACAATAGGTCCAGGTCTCATTCACAACGTGAACACTAGCCAAACCCTCTGGTCTTTTATCTATCTTCACTCACTCGTTCTGGTAACCTTCTAAGTCGCCTCAAAAGATGTTGATACCGTAACCTCTTACATTAACTTTTAAAATATATGATTAAATAAACGGAATTTGTATTAAAGGGTTCAATCAATGGATGGCTTCTATAGCCATGTATTTTTTCTCTAGGTATTTGTTATTATGATTTATGATATATTATACTATCCTATATTTACTTATTGTGTGTTTGAAATATGGATCGTAAGTTTTTCTAATAAAATAAAAATATATTTGCCCACATAATAAGCTACATTTTAACTTATAATCTACCTCTTCGCGTACTATTAAAACGATAATGTTCGTAAAAATAAACATGTTGAACTCACTCTGCAGAAATTATAGTAAATTTGTGTAAAGAAGCTTTATAAAAACCAGTGAATAATAATATGTGATATTACGAACTTTGATTTATGATGATTGATGACAAACCAAACTTTCAAAAATTGTGCTAACGCAATTTATATTTATTTCAGATAATTGAGTATATTTACAACAATTGCAAATTGATGAGTTGCCACTCTATTGCTGTATAGTTATACTTATCATTTACCACATAGGCTGGATAGCCTAGGTATATAGTATTCGATACATAAATATGTTGATATCTTAGATCTTTTGACGTTTGCTAATTGAAAATTGAATCTATATATAATATATATAGTATCTCATTTCTATAGATATTTTCTTCTTTGGTGTATAATTTTAAAAATGAAACAAAAACAAAATAGGAAGTCTCTAATCTGCTGACTGCTGTATAGTAGATTTTGAGAGTAGATACCTCATCGTTAACTTTCTAGGTCACTGTAATGGATATAGATATTAAATTTGAATTTAATAATGAAACATTATTGTATACGAAATTACGAAAAATAATTGAGTTCGGAGGTGTGTCCGCTCTAATTTTAAAGATATTTCATAGTATTCTAATAAGGTAGGATATTACTTTGTAATTTATTTTTTTATTTATATATTATGGTATAATAATTATTTGTTTTCGTATTTTATTCGTATTTTCTTAATTCATATTTTTGAAATTAAAAATGAAAATGAAAATAATAAAATGTACACATTTTGAACTAGAAATTAAGATAAATTTATTTGCGATTATTAATTTTAATTACCTTATAAATTCTTCAAAGTTTCTGATTTAGTGTTCCAAGGGCTTTAAAAATTCAATTGTGGCAGCATTTATTTAGTCTTCTCTTAAATTACGAAAAAAAAAATATTGTTTATTTATGTATTTTATTAGTAGTATAACAATATCAATGATATTATTTTGATTTTCTTGCATAAGTTAAAGCTAGTTAAAATTTCGTCGAAAACAGATTATTTGTAAATATTAAATTTCAATGTTATGAAAAAATAAAAATTTGCTAATTTTGTGATTAAAAAAAAAACATTTCATAAAAATATTACTTAAAAAAAAAAAAAAATTGCAAATTTAAAAAAAGTAAGTTGTATTACGTTTATGCATGCACTTACCGAGAGTTAAAAGTTTGAAATTTGTGATTCACTTTTGTGAAACTATCCATCAATCTATAAATTATTATTTTTAAATATGGTATGCTTCAATGCTAAATTATTAAAAATATTAACACTAACAAATTTAGCATCATACCTACATACTAAAAATATATGTTTAAATTAATTTATAACAATATATTAGATTATAAATCATTAATTAGCAGTATATTACAACTTATAAAAATAGCTTACAAATTGCATTATTAAATGTGATACAAGTAAATAAAATACCAAATAATAAAAATATAAAAAAAATTCATTTGGTACAGTCAGAAATTTCAATTAAATATAATTTTCAATGCTATTGACTAACATTTACAAATTATTAACACTCCCAATAATCGCTGAAAATTGAATCAGTATGTTTAAAAATAATTTACATGTTCTAAATAATAAGTAATCTGATAAAATATTTAAAAGTATTAAACAAAGGATGATTACATTTTTTATTTTAACCATGATAATTGGAATTTTTAAATATCTTCAGACTAGATTATAAACAAATTTATAAATTTGAATTTTTGGTGATACAAACTTCTGTTTTTTCAAAAAAAAAGAAAACTCTCTTTTTTTCTGTAAGGTATTTAATGAATAATTGATTTGAAAATTTTGATGGATCTTATTCAAAATTCAAATGAGTAGTTTCATAGTTTCAGATATTAAAATATTTATAAAAATATATATTCTTATTTTAAAATCAGAATTATCTCCACAGGACATTCCTTAAGTAGTACAAAAAATGTCAATGATTTGAAAACACAAATAGTCTTTACATATACTTAAAAATTCAAAAAAATTTAATTTTGAATGATTGCATCATTAAAGAAAAAAGGTGGGGAGTAAAGATATTTTGTATATGACTTATATTGATAGATATTTTAAAATATATGATAAAACTATATTTATTATAACTCATGATGTCACTTTATTAAAAATATTAATATAACATGATGAATAGGTTATAGCTAAATATTGCCTTTATATTATTGTATCAATATTCAATAACCTCAGCTAAAGTGTTTTATTGTAATATTGAGTTTAAAAGTAATAATAGATCATTAGTTTAAGAAAATTATTCTGATTTCTGAGCTCAACTTGTTTTAAATAACTCTTATTGCTGACCTTTTTTCAAAATTATTTGATAATGGCCTGTGGTTTTTTTTTCTTATACATTAATATAATACCAATAATAAAATTAAAATAATAATCTTAAATAACAATAATAACATTAAAAATATTTAACACATTATTTTTTTCTTAAAAATGTTATAAAATACAAGGAAATAGAATATGCTTTCTAAAATATTTTCATATGTAATGTGTTTTAATTTATTTAATTATTATTAATTGATTATTGTTTTATAAAAAAATATATTTCACAAGACTTTATAAAAATATCAAACTATTAATAACTAATAAAAATTAAGTAATGATTCAAAAGTGTCTATTGTTAAGTCAACATAACTTCCTCCAAAATGATTCCTAAACAAAAATAATAAATTATAGAAAAATATTGATTTATTCATAACATTTAATAATTAATAATATATTATATATTCATACCAATGATTTAAATAATGGAACAAATGATATAATAACTTTCTATTTTCAAACCCATTAGATTTTGGTATTTTTTTAAAATATGCTGTATAAAAATCTTCAGAAATACCTCCAAATAATGAAATAGAAGCAATATCATATTCATGATGCCCATAAAATGTAGCAGGATCAAAAATAACTATAAACATTCATCATATTAGTAATGTAGTGTGTAGACATTCATTAAATTAGTAGGTAGGTACTACATTCCATTCCACAAGAAAAGATTTATGCATACACGTATTGATGGAAGTGACAAGTCTAAGAATGTATGTGGTAGAAACTTGATAATCTTCTCTTATGAGCCAGAGTATAGGTATATGGTTACCGATTATTAAATTTTTAACCTGGTTTTGAATTTGATTGAGCAGTATTTCCTGGCCATAAGTCCCCGTGAAGTAATGAAGGCTTAATTTCTATTCCTTCAAAGAATTTGGGAATTCTATGTTTCAGTTGAGGCCAATAATTTTCAATGACTTTCTATTTAAAAGAATATAAGTTAGTACTATTAATTTAAAATAATATGTTTATAATTCTTAAAAGTTACTTTTTTTTTTAAATTGTTTCCTGACTTTGATTGTAGCAACTGTAATTGATAATTTAAACGATTTTCCGTGTAGAATGTCTGAAAAGTATGTCTACATAGTATTAAACACATTTATAAACAAAATAAAAATATTAATTTTTATACAATCCAATCATCAGTCCATGTATTATTTTGAGGTAAAAATCCACAACACGTTTCAACATGAAAGCCAAATTTGTTTATATGTGGTTGACCCTCTTTTAAATTAAACAAATGCATTTCTGCTAATTGACTGCCTAATTCTGATGTACATTTCATATTTAAAGAACTCATTTTCCAATAGTCCATAACAATAAAATGTTGACCACTATTTGTACAGCCAGTGGCAATAGGATAAGGAGCTGAAATAGTATTTGTACTACATATTGCTTTAAGGCCTTCTAATTCACCATTGAACATCTTATCTGACTGTAATTAATAATATATTTATTAGAAATAGAAGGAAAAAAAGTTTTTCAAAGTATAAATTAAAAATAGATACTAAAAAAATATACCCCTGGTTTTGAATTATCTTTCACAAATAATAATTTATTATCTTCTGTTTGATAAACTGAACTATTATTAATGCAGCCTTCATTTATACGTATATCCAACTTTTTTATGCTGGTGTTAAAAATATTTTCTAATGCATTTTCCATTTTAATATATTTAAATTTTGTTAGAAATCAGTAAATAGATAAATAAAAATGATAAAGTCACAGATTAAAGTTGAAACCGAACAACAGAATATATTATATACTATATAGACACTATAGACACGAGACCATAAACAAAATAATATATTTCTTTATAAGTCCACCCGACCACGCTCGAGACTGAGTCTCGTCACTCTCGTCTGAAGCTCTCAAGTAACTGATAGAATTTTGATAAAAGATAAAAATAATCTTATCGTGATTATTCTTATTTTTTCAACATGATTTTTAACAGTTAACACTTAACACGAATAATATCAATATGTCATCTCATAGACTTAGAAAGTTTATATAATATATATACATTTATTAATCAATAATCATGAACACTTGGTTTTTAATGTCGATGTGTTTGATGTTAATTCAGTCATTCCGTGCTATAGGCCTGAACGAGTTACGACTATACGTAAGTTGATAGGTATATATCATGTACTCCGTGGTCGCTAACTCCCAACCATAGCATATTTTAACACATAAAGTAGGTGGCACAAGTGTCACCTAGAGATTAATGAATGTGCCTCGTACTTCATGTCACAAGTAGAAAACATAAAAGATACCCGACATGGGTGGTTATGATAAGTTTTACTATTAAATGGTAAGAGCAAAAAATAAAAAAGATTATCAACTGCCCCCTTGCCCCCCTTATATAAAAATCATAGCTATGCGAGGTAAGTGTTTGAACTAGTTCTTATGACTTATAGAGATTGTGATAGTGCAACTTAGTAAAGAATTCTTAAAATATGCTCTGCTCCCAACTATAGTATTTTTCACGATGTAGGGATTGTGGAGTTAGGTACTGTGGTAGGTACCTACTCTAACTAAATAGATCTATTTAAGTCATAGTATAGACTATAACGTAGACCACGAACTAAAATACATTTCTATTTTACTAACATTTTTAACAAACACACACACATATATAAATGGGAACTTACTATAATATAGTTTTCCTTTTACAAGGGAATTGTCATTTGTTACAAGTTATAATAGATTAAAAAATTAGATTTATCGTGAGGAATGTGATCTTAAATACATACATCTATAAGGCTAAAGTCAATAAACATAAACATGTAACTAATAATTATAAAATAAAATAGATAAATGTCGGACTTCACCTTTAGATCGTATAATACAATGTGATAGATGATAGTATATTAGTATATACCTAATCTAAGACCTCACCATTTCAATCAGTTACCTTGATATTACATTTTTTTTTTTTTTTAAATCCATATATTCCTCACATTGCTTAGAATCTAAATTTTATTTTCTCTAATTTTTGTTTTTACAACTTAGGCTTAAGGCTTAGACCAATTTATTTATACTTGTATAATAATATTGCTACTGCAGCCTGACCAATGACCGTGCTACAATTATTGATCTTTTTGTACCTACATAGATTTTACTAATAAATCTTATATCTAATAATTTTATAAATTTTAAGTTGAGCGATGAATATATGTGTTGATTTCAAATATGATTTTTGTGTCAGTTGTCAACTTATAAAATAATAAAAATACATTGATTTTCAACATCAAGTGTGTTTCTGATAAAAAATTGATTTTTATATTGAAGGTACTTATCGGTTATCACAGATATCTTTGTTTATGTAATATAAAAAATGTAAAATAAAATAAAAATTATTAAAAAATGTACAAAAACTTTAAAAAACTAGGAATAAAATTAAAAATTTTACTTGTAAAACTTAATGAATTATACATTTAACAAACTACACTGTACTACACTACAAAAAGTATTAACAATATATTAATTAATTTATTACCAAACAGTTATTTAGTTGAAATCATGTGGTGTCAAAAGCACGATAATCCATTTATAGGCATTTTAAATTGTATAGCTAAACATTTTTCTTCTAGAGTAAATTATTAATTTTTAATATTAATTTTATAATAGTTTTAATAATATTGAATCCATTTTTTAAATTACACCATGTAAAGAAAAGTAGTCGTGATAACCGATAGTACTAAACTTAATTTAAATTCCTAGTAATTTTTAAAATAATTGAAAAAAAAAAATGAACAAAATCTTCAAATGTAAATATTTATTTATTAATTATTTTTATGATGATCAATTTCTTGATGAAATAATAATATCAGTTAGACAATTTTAAACAATGTTGTTTGGTGTATTCCCAAATAAATAATGAACCAGCAACGTGCACATTTAATGATCTAACAATACCCAATTGCTCTATTTCAACACATATGTCCATGGTGCTTAACAAATCATGTGGAATACCAGAGGTTTCATTGCTAGAAATAAAATTAAAAATATGTTTATGATATTTCAAAAATTATAAAATTATATAAAAAAATGACCACAAAATTAAAAAGTACTTACCCTAGAAGTAGAACACATTTAAATGGCAATTTGATATCATGCAATTTAATACTGTCTACTGTTTGTTCCGCAGCCACAACCTGATATCCTTCAATTTTCTTTTTTTGTAAATATGATTTTAGGTTTTTAACTCTAACCTAATATAAGTATATATATTTTTTAAATTAATACAATTATAATAATATTTACAATATTATAAATTATTTATTTTTTCAAAATACCTCAATAATGTATTGATGTTTTTCTGCAGTCATACTTAATGCTGTAAATTCTTTTTTTTCTATACATGACAAATTATCAACAACTAAAGTGGAGGCTCCAAATACTTGGCAAGTTCTAGCTAAACCACCTAAATTAGTTACTTTATCTATCAAAGATGCAACAACTATTAACATTGATTTAGATGTATATTCATCTAATGGTTGAGATGGAATATACTTCCTTTGAGCATTTTGAGCATTGTCTAAGACAATAATTTCATTCGATGATGCTAAAAAATAATAAATAGCTTATAAAAATTTAATATAAATATATATTTTGAAACAAAAAACCCAAAAACATTCAATCACTAAAATATCAAAGATTATCGGTTTTTTTAAAAATTGATGAACCTTCAATTTGGTTCTTCTCAAATCAAAGAAAACAAATTTAAATATATTTATAGTTTAAACTGAACATCATTTGATTAGTTTAATTACTACATTTTTCATTGTTAAAAACTTTTATCAAAAAACAGAAATGTATAACTTGTACACACCTGGGGAAGTATTTTTCTCAATAAAAGATGAGACTGCACAGAGTGATAAATCATATTTATCATTGACTTTCATGGTCTCAGAGAAATCATTTAACCATTTCATTGGGAAACATTCTTCATGAACTATATTTAATAATCTAGGTACTTCTATACATATATTCTAAACACCAAAAGTTCATTAATTTTATATTAATTAATAAAGAATAAAACAAAGCTTACTAACTTTCAAAGACAAACAATTTATCATATCTAATTCTTGATAGAAAAAATCATCAAATGGATTTTCATACTTTTTAGTTTGTTCATTTTGATTTATTATATTTCCTACTGATTCACATAATAATGACCATTCGTTTTCCTCAGGATTATTAGAACATAATCTGAACATTATTGACTAAAACACAAAATAATAGTAAGATTAATATAAATACTAACTTAATAACTTAAAGTTAACTAAATTTTATGTAACAAAGTTAGAGTGGATAGATCAAGTATAGATAAAATCTCTATCCACTACTTCAATATACAACTACAAAACTATTTTATAATACAATAAAAAGAACAATAATTAGATAAACCTTTATTTTGTGAATTAATAAACATAATTTCTACATAATAAAAATTATATATATTTAAATTATAAATGGTTTTATAATATATTTACCTGAGCATAAAATCGTATTTTATAGCCATTTGAAAAGCATAAAGGTAAAAGATTCTTTTTAGCTTCAATTTCAAATTGTTTGCTATTCTTTATTTTGTGTAAGTGATAAACTATGGATATAAAGCTGCACATATAGTTATGATTTTCTTGAGCCTACATATAGTATTCAAATATTAATCATAGGTACTTTATTTTTCTTATAATATATATAATTACATTTTTGAAGTCATTCCAAAAGTCAAAAAAACATTGACATCTATTATACATTATTAAAACCAATAACCATATTAATTGATATGCGACACTGTATATGTGTGAAACTTCTTTTAAACTTGATAATGACCATTTATAAATATTTTCATTGAATATGAATGACTAAAAAATAAAATTTAAAAAAATAAATAAATTATTAATTGTTATTATATATTTTTGAATAATTAATTAATACCTCATGTTCTTTGTCACAAGCAATAATAAGCAAAATTTGTACTACTCGTTGTTTTATGCGGTATGCTTTTGAATTATGAAAAAATTTTCTATCTTTTAAAGATAACTCTGTTTTAATAGTTATACTTAAAACATTTTTCCATAACATACTGGAATTTAGTTTGTACAAATATTTAATTATATTAAAACGTAAATATTTATCATCAGGCAAACACTCAATTCTGAAAATAATAATAATAATAATATAAACCACTTATAAATTATAATATATAATTTTGTAACGATTAGTTAAAAAACTTACGAAATATCATTGATTAATGGAAATGAATCATTCAATGTTCGTACATATTCAAGCGTGTCCCATTCAATTCTAAAACAATGAATAATTTAAAACAAGTGTCAATAATATTAATTATTATTAATTATAAAACATACTTGATAGCACCATATCGATCAATACTGAATAATAAACATTTAGCAAAAAATTCAGACATTAAAAAATTCAATTCTAAAATGTTAATTGATTGATTTTCCTTTAAAAATTGAAGAAGAAGTAATGAGAAACAAACACTAAATTTATAACGATATTTCTCAGTTAAAAGATTTTGGATAATCTGTAAAATAAAATATCTTTATTATCTCTGATATTATAATATGTTTAATATATTTAATAAATTATTTACCTCATTTTTAACAAATATTTTATATTTTTCTTCTAGTAATAAATTGTAATGAAAAGCCATTTTAATAAAACTTTTGGTAGTATTAGGAAAACAAGATACTCGACAATCAACTAGAAAGTCCCAACAATTTTGGATGAATTGTATTATTAACTGAGAACACTCTTGAATAGGAAATTTACATAAAAATGATTTAGCAGTTGAAAAATATATACTCCAATATAAATCATGACGTTCCAAAGTTTTATCCATTAACCATTCAAGAATACCTAACAATTGTTCTTTGGGTACTGTAGAATGCTGGAAAAATGTATTAATTATATCCAATTGAGGAATTTGATGCATTCCTGGTTTTTTTGTAC